CATTAGGATTCGGTGCTTTGAAAACCCCAAAACCCCAAAACCCCGTTTTATAGATTATAAAATTATTTATAGCGTAGTCATAATGCATTGAAATTAATTAAGAATTAAATTTGATTAAATGAGACGATAAGTCAGATTCTCTGAAACTAGAAAGTCAAGATCTCTCAGACCTGATGATCAACTTTAAAACTCAGTTATTGAAAGCAGTCAAAGGTAAAACATCTCAAGGAAATAGACAGAGGTATCCCCAGAAATATAGAATAAAATAGACAATATAAACACCAAACAGCTTTAGAATCATGACATCAAAGATTTTCTTTAAGACGTGCAGGCCTATAGCATTCCTCATTTTGAGAACATGGATCAGCATCTTGTCAATGAAATCAGACAAGTGGGCAAGAATCATAATTCCCATGATTCTACATCCTCAGGGTGGAAAATATTCACTGACATTGTCTAAAAGTACCCGTAGAAGTAATCAGTGGCTTTGGCCATACATAAACTGAAGCAAGAGGCATAATAAATTGCTAAGGATTAAGATAAATGTGATGCTGCATCAAAACCAAGACGAACTTCACAGAGAAAGAAAAGTAGAAGCCGACTGACTCTAGAGGACTTTAAGAGTTGCCTAGGTAATTAGAGTATGGAGCATTTTCAGAGTATCAAAGCTAATGTAGAGTAATTGCAAGTAATAAAAGATGAATTTAAAAAACTGAAACTACTAGACGAGGAATAAAAAAACTGGATGCTCAAGTTTAACCAATATATGAAGCCAAAGCATAAAGAGTTTAAGAGACAAAATGTTATAAAGCGCTAGAAAATCAGAGAGCTGATTGGGTTGAAGCAGTCAGAAACCAGTAAGCAGGACACAATGCTTAGTTAAATTAGTCAGATTGATAGCACTTTGATGCTGAACTCGATTTGCACTGATGATTCTCGATTAAAGAATAGTCAAATCAGTACTTCGAAGTTCAAGTAACTGCTGAACGAAAGCAGTTGAGAGCAGCAGCATTAAAGTATGGAAATGCATATTAAGAATTTCTAAGAACAACAGCAAACTCGAAAGGGCACCGAAAAAGACAGAAGCAACAATAACAGCTAAGCTCGGAATTCATCTAACATACACTCTAAGAAGGCTCTAGTCTCAGTGAAATAAAGTCCCTTCAAGATTATTGATACAGAGTCTAGACTTTCCAAACTTAATAAGGAGTTTAGTGAGAAAATGGTGGAGGTCAAGCTTAACATCTAAAAGGATTCATTGATCTCAGATCACCGAGCACAATTCTAAGTCAACGAGGCTTAGCGTGGAGGCTTTGTTAAGGTCTAGGCGTAATCTGATGTTATCGAGATAGTTCAAGTAGACCGCAAAAGCAGCTCCCTCTCGAGAGGTAACAATCTATCCCCTTAGATGTCGAGCAACACCCCTACAAATGTATATTAGCTAGGCACTATTTCTAGGAGAGATAACATTAAGAAGAGATACAATACTCTACTTGTTAGAAAGAAATAATACAGAGAATCACTAAGTAATTGCTCTATGAAGTAAAGTGCAAAGAATTCTGTTAATCAATCAATGGTTTTACTCTCGAGAAGACAAACAAACAGCAGAGTCTTATACCCATTGGAGTATAACTAGTCTCCCTACTAGTAAGTTTGCACTTCAGTATAAACAGCAAAGTCTATCACCAGGCCTAAGTATGATTTCACTATGGAATTGATTGATTCTATCTAACACAACAATATGAAATCTGAAAATAGAAGATACTAGAACTAACTGAGGAAATCAGCTAATCTGACAGCAATCAATGAAATTAATTCAAAGGCAGTCTCAGAAATTGAAAGAGACAATGATCGACTTGAGGCAAAAATGACTTTGAATATTCCGAACCCTGGCCGAACCAGAACTATTACAATTGATAACTCTATCAACTACCTTCAGTCACCACTAGACGAAGTTACTTATGACATTGACAAAAAACCTCATAGATTTAATGAGATGATTCTCTCAGTCTAAAATTAATCAAGCATCGAGAATTTAGACATATCAGTGAAGTCTCCTCTTAGTATCCTAGACTACGGAAGAAGGTCAAAGGTCAATTAATCCCTCAATAATCTCAAGTTTCAAAATGGGATGTACTAAAATGACTTGATGAACTCCAATCTTATCAGTCCTAAACCATTTTATGCTAAAGAATATGATGTGAAATCTACAATCAAGCAGAGAAATAGACTAAGATCATCTTAGAAGCAGGGAAGGAATGATATATTCTCCATGAGAAAGTAGTTGCAACCTAAAATGCCTTCAAGCAGCTAAATCACCAGCATATATTTTGCAACGAACAATTCTACTACGATAAATCATAGCATGAATCTGGTTAATACTGGCTCCTTAAAACCTTAACTTAAATTGATTGGAAACCAATACATATTCTGAGTAGCAGAATTGACTTTACTAAAAAAGAAATAACGTTATAGTATTATTTTGATTATATATTTTGCTTGCAATAATCTTAATTTCATTAATCTCAGAGATTGCCTTAAATAAATAATATTTATCTTAATTCCGATTATTTTCAATGGAAAACTTTGAAGCTTAAATAATAAGTTACTTTTCAGAGGTGGATCTAATTCAATTGTCTAAAGGTGTCCATCTGCTCCGAAAATCTATCAAAGCCTTTGACTATCAGCTTAGATTCAAAAATAATTAGAAAGTACTGCTGTAGATTCAGCTGCTCATCTCATTTGAAAGTCCAATGATAAAGAAACTCAATAGTATCACAAATGCAAAGGAGTTCGATGCTTGGAATATGTTTCTTCAGGAATTCCTGTAGCTGCTTTATGATATCTTTAGCAATGCTGAGGATTTTGATGTAGAGATACTCACTAGCTACTTCCTTGGAGAGTTGATTTACTTTAGCAGCGCTCTTAATCAATCAGTAATATTATTCCTTAATGGAAGAATAATTAACATTTTTAGAGCTTCATCTGTGCGACTTCGAAAAAATGCTTTTATATCTTGCTAAAGAGAAGTTAGGATATGGATAAAGTGCTTATCTATTATATCCAGAAATTCTTCAATTCCTAATTGCCAACTGAGTAATTATTATCATCCGCATCCCTGATTAATAAATATTCTATAGTGTGAACCTGATTATCAATAGCTTAAGCTTGCTATCAGAGGTCATTAAGACTGAATAAGTTCTGTTCTTCGATAAAAAGCATCGTACTTCATTTGTACGATTATTGGAAAACATAACTCTAAGGGCTCATTACATTCAGAAATCTTCACAGAACTAAGGAAAGCCTGAGCTTTTAGAGCTATTAAACGCTATAAAGTTGCTAATCGTGGAACTAGTTAATGTTTATGTAAATGATATGATAAGAATCATCAGACAGATGGGGGAGAAAAATAAGTAACTTATGATTGAACTCATCGAAAGTCTCGATCATAATCCACCTGTGCCCATCAACAAATCTAAGATAGCACTTGCTAAACAATAGCAATTCTAAAATCTAAGTAGATAATCATCATCCAATGGCTTTAATTCGATACAACAGTACTCCACTGCAAGCAGCTAAATGTCTTCTGCTAATAATCAATCAAGACCAAGCATTTTATAAAGCTCGGGTTCCTCAATAGTAGGCAGCTAGCCAGCTTAACTCATCATAGATAGAACAGAGGATTCTATTATCTCCCCATCTGGTGCTTAATAAAGAAACTATCACCAGTTCCGAAGTTTTCATAATGTTTCCACTCCTCAGAACTAAGGAGGCATGAATCCATTTACCCAAGTGCAAGCAGTGTCATACCCACCAGAAGAAGAGCTTTTTAAGATAATTGTAGTTAACTTTGAGGAAGGTCTACAGATTTTAAAGAATATGTTTATATCAATGTAGAAACAAGAAATAGCCCAGGTTTAATTCAAGGAATTGCCTAAATTTATACAAATCATAATAAAGTCTATGTTTTAGCATGGGTTTAACCCAAAGTTACAATCTGGTGGGACTACACCTGCAGATATTAATTAGGGTGCTGCTAGTAATGAGGATATTCTTAAATCAGATCCTGTCTTAAAAGAAATATTTGAGACTTTTGAAATTATGAATGAAACGATCAACATCATATAGTAGCTATTGCCATCATTTTTAAATGCTCTCGTCCAGCTTCCATCATTGTCCAAGCCACTTTAAAAACAGATTTTTAGAACTCTTTATATCGATCATTTCACTACTTAAAATCCACTTAACAACTAGCAATAGATTGAAGACGATATGTTGAAGGTGCTACTTTATTATCTTAACAAGCGCAATCCTCAATTCATTGAAACACTGCTTACTATGATAATGGTATTTTTACTGAAGCAAACTAGCGTAACTCTTTCTAAAGAGATCCTTGAGTAGCTAATAGATTCTGTCATAAACCTTATCAATATATTCCCTGAGTAAAAGAACTACAGAAAGTATAGTTTGGAAATCATTATAATAGTCTTAAGTCAAATAGAGTAGCAGATGGAATAAAAAGTAATTGATTCAGAAGCTTTTGATGAATAAACGTTCTAGGATTAGATTAAGCATAAAGTTGAATATTAGCAAGTACCATTCATTGAGGAGAAAAAATCCAGAATCATTTAGAGTAATGGGGATCCTATCCCAATAATAGAAGGAGTGTTCAAACCTAAACAAAAGCCAAGGTCAGTAAGTTCGAGATAGGGTGGACCAGGCGGGGCCAGAATGTAAAACCAAAGATCAAGCATTCAACCAAATAGCACCAATATTAAGTCATTTGACTTTGTAATTTAGAAAAATGAAAGAAATAATTAATAATTGTCAAAGGTTAACTAATCATAAGGTAATATTAGCAAACTGATGAATATAAGTAAAGACAATGAGCAAATTCAAATGAATTAGTAAGTACAGCAATAACAGTCTTTGCCTATGTTCCCTTAAATACTGCCTAAAGTGTAATCTATGCAAAGTCTTTAAGACGCTTAATATAACAAGAAACAAACTATAGAAAAAGGTCCTCCTCATTTAAGAATGAAAAGATACGGAATCGCTGGAATAATGCCTGATTTCAATGACATTCCAGGAAGGCCAATAAAGGGAGGGCTTCCGATTGCATCTAAAATAGAAACTCAAAGATAAAGCTTGCTTGTACCATTAAAAGGATTTAGTGATCAGGAATGGGACTAAGCTGTAAATCTATGAAATTCATAATTTGGCTGTATACTTGATATATAAAATCTACTATGTAACTTTGTCTCTGCTACAAATAAAATATTTACTTATTAACCTTCTTAATTTTATAAATCTCTTAGATTTCATAAAAAGTATACTTTAGGGGTTTTGGGGTTTTGGGG